GGGGGGGGCAGAGCGGGAGCCGGGCCGCTGAGGTGACTGGCGGGAGTCTGCGGCGTCAGAGCTGCCTGGCTGCTCGTACCGGCCTCTGCAGGCACGATAAGATCACAGGTGGAGGAGCACACTTTTTTTTTTTTTTTGCGGGCTGAGGGGGGGCCCTGCCGTCGGGGTGCCAGGCAGCTTAGGGTATAAGTAAAAGCATTTAGTTTTACGTCACAGGCTTAATTAGATACTTCATGCTGTCGTTTAGGTTGGCAGGGAACGGTTAAGCTCTTGGAGCGGTTGATCGCTGGTTAGCTGCTTCTGTGTCTCAGAGCTGGCTGGGTGCTGGAGCTGCCGGCTGGCTCCCGGGCCAGCCCAGGAGCCTTCTCACTGGCAAATGGTTCTGGTACCTCCTGTCAGCAAAAGGAGTAGCCGCTGAAAGCATCCGACGGTTGCTAGCACTGAATCAGCTCTGCAGCTGTCTAGGAATGGTAGGCAGGCCGCTGGCTGTTAAAATCGGGACCCTGAAAGGTCTCTGAAACACCGAGTTCAGCTTTGCGGTGTTCCGTTTTTTGAGTCTTGCCGTTTATTCGGTTCTCGGTGCACAGGTGCCCAGGCTCCTTGAGGAGGCTAGCGAAACGAGTGGGGGAGGAGGGAATGGAAATGCCTCCGCAGCTTGTCTGGTATCAGAGGGCTAATTAAATATTCATTAGAATAGGGATTCAAACTTGGCTTTCCAATACAAGTGCCTTAACCACAGCTTGGCAAAGTCACTTTTTCCTTCTCCTTAGCACCATGAATATTTAATTATTTACGAAAAGCGAGAGGGGAAATTGGGTGAATCTCTCCCAGAACTCCCTATTGCATTTTCAAGGGAGGTGGGAAATTTGGATTCAGATCCTTGCTAACCAGGGAAATTTGCAAACAAAGCTCCCTCCACTCAAGCAGGTGCTGTTATCCTTGGATTATGGGGAAAGAAACACAGAGATCATCTGTTGTGCAAACCTCCTGTCCTTACTGGACAGGGTATGCGAGGCAGGGAATTTGGGAATGTAGTTTGAGAATCCTTCTGAGAAGGATTTGGTTTAGTTTTATGAATCCCTGCTAGCAGAAAATGTAGGCATATCTCCACAAAGCAGTGCAGCAATGAATTTCAGACCCTGAAAGCGATATATCTGCCTTACATTGCTTCCGTGCCAGGGTGAAGTAGCTTGGTCTCCACCTCACAGTCAGCTGTAAAGTTCTGGTTCCAGACCTAGCCTGTGTGTTTTCATGGTTAAGGAACTCTGCATCAGTTGCAGTATAAACCTACTCAAAGATGTCTTAAAGACTGCCTTGCAGAAATTTAGGTAGCTAGGAGCTCAAATCACAATTGAACAGAAATGTTGAGGTTTTGGAGGCTCACAAACATTGGACTCGGGAGCCTGATGACATTTGGATACCTGCTTGCCATTGTGAAATGCAAACTTACTCAGAGCAGGCCTGATGGAGGTGGGTTTTAAAGTGTCAAGAACTACTAGAAATCTCAGTCTTTCCAAAATAATTCGCACATACTAGCACTTGTAGGAAGACAATAGAAAATATCCTTGACCTAGTCAGATCCAGTACAGGGTCCTCTCTCTGAGGATTACAGCCACACTACCCATACTTAGGAAGGACTTTCTGGCTAGTACTATCTGCAGTAAACAAGGAAAGGTTGAGTCTGAAATCAGTGTACTACTTTGGATAGGCTTAAGTATGTGTTCTGAATCCAGATGAAACTGGTATTTTTAAGAGTTCTGTTTGAGAAGGTCTGACATATATAAACAAGAGTGAATTACCATGAAAGTACACTTTACTTTGCAAATACTGGAAAAGCAATGCATTTTTTTCTGATCAAGAATGCTGTAGCTTAAGCAAAACTGCACTACAGCAGCCTTAGTGCTTTTTTTGTTTTCAGTTCACAATACAGGTCAAGTTTCCTACCGATGCAATATGGATGTACAGAGCTCTTGAAATAACTGTGCATTGCATCAGTGGATTGTCAACATTGTGGAGGGTTCGTGCTTTTACTTGTGTACGTGGCAGCCTTTTCCAGTGAGTGAGGGAATGCATTCTTCTAGCCTAAAAAAGCTAAACCAGAACGTCATCATGAGCATAAATCAACCTCTTTCTCCGTATTTACCTCAGAACCTATTTATTTCTTGAAAGAAGAGCTGTTCTCTGACAAATACCATTTCCTGTTGCTGTCCAAATGCATACGGCATGGCACATCATCATCACCATCATCATCATCATCATCATCCTTCCCATTTACAATAAAACAGTCTGGATTGCTGTTGGCAAGTGAACAGTGGATAGCCTGATGTACATGAATATTGGAGGCTTGCTTTATTTGGCCTTAAACATGAGCAAAGTAGCTACCTGCTTGTGATTCCAGTAGTGACGTTTATTTGCCATTAAAAAGAAAAGCTTAGTGTAAAGATATTGCTGTAACTTTCACAAAAAAATCTAAAGATTACATAAAGGGGTATTTTTGTAACATCTTATTTGGGCAATATTTCAGTAGTATTAACATTTTACACCTTTAACAATCAGGCTTAAGACAAGTTCTAAAAGTCAAAAATACTGAAAGTAACTGCTAAATACTTTTTAAAAAAATTTGTCACTAGTACCACATTGACTTTATTTTGGTGCCAAACATGACAGCAGTGGCAATTATTTGGAGCAGTTGCTCTATAGGAGTGTTTGAAACATGGACAACAGGGCAAAACTCAGTCCAACACGTTGAGTCTAGATTACTCAAAATTCAGAAACTATAATTACCAATCACCTTTCAACTGCTCACAAGATGCTGACCACCAAGAAATAAAAGATGTGTAGATTGCGTTCTGGAGTGACTGGTATTGCCATAACTAACATAGTTAATATACTAATTACTATGCCAGTTATCTAGTAACTAGTATTATCTGGTAACTAGTATTTTCTCCATCCTGCAGAGTCTAAGCAGATTAAAGCTTGAGCATAGATTCTCTTTTTCAGGTACATTACAAGGTTGCACTGCACAAGAACAGTATGAGCCCATGTTAAAAAATGACCTCTTCTTTAGATCCACAAAAAGCAACACTACATGTGAGTATGGCACTTTGTTGGCACAGCAAATTAAGCTGTTAAATGTTAGTTGGAGATCATATTTGACGATTGAAGATGCAGTTGATTGAGGCTGTGCACAATTTTGAGCATAGTTTGAGACTGGATGTTGGCTCCTTTCGGACTCTGTTGAACATATGGCTTGCCTTGCACTGTTAGTTATTATGTTGTGACAATAGTGCCTAAAAACCAGTTGAGCTAAAAGCTGTGCCAACACAGAGGAAGGAGCATCCTGTATTCCAGAGAGATACCATCTAAAGAAACAAGAGACACGCAGGATAGGGGAAGAGGGTTTAACAGAGAGGCAGCATGAACGCTGTGATGGTCTCCCACACACCTCCAGTCTAGTAGCGGTGGTATGTAAGTAATAAATGTTATAAATGTTTATAAATGCTTTAACAGGAAACAAAATTGAGGGCGAGTAAGGAAGCACGGTGGAGGAGATGGTATAGAAGCAGGTATACGTGAAATTGAATTTAAAAGCCTAGGAAGCTGGAATACCTCAGCCTTTTTTTATTTATTTTGTTGGCTGCCATAGGTGCTCTTACCACCAAATTCTTGGCTTGCTGTTTTTTTCCCAATGCCACACATTGTTTAGGAAAAAGAGTTGACAGAAGTACCACCTGGTATGCTGCTTGACACTAAAACTAGGGCTTTTTCCTGCACAGTTCAGAGTAATGGAGCGGCCCTGCTGCAGTTAACTTTTATCCTTTTTCAAGGAAGTCCTTTCTGCTTTAGTTGCTTCTGCAGCTGATGGCTGGAGCCACTGTCCTACTTTGTCAGTATTTTGATTAATATAAAGGGAGACTCATCTGCAAATGGTTTCTGAAATCTTCAAAATCAATGTGTTAAGTATACCATATGTGGAAGCCTGTAAAGCAAGTTGGCTGTGGAGACGTCCCTGAAGCTCCAGGAGAGGTAGAAAAAACATTATACCTTGCCTGGTAATCTTTCCTTGGTTGCATATTTTAAAATAGTACAAACAAATATTAAAAGATAACAAAGAAGATAAAAATGAACCTCAGATGCTATGTTTTACCTTAGCTAGACATATATAGCATTTCCACTTTTGGCTTTCCAAAGATATCTCTCACGTGAAGTTACCTTTTGGGAGCAAATGTAAAGATAAAAACAGACACCTGATCTTAGGATCAAATTTTATGTGCATTCAGTGGCTATTGCTACCAGCTCGTCACTTGTAATAATTAGTCATTGATATGGTTGCTATATATGAAAGTTATTCTATGGCTTTACTCTCGCATCAGGAGTGTTGTGATTTAATTTAACCTGTATTTTCCCCAAAGGATTCTTTCTTTTATCCAGTCTATTATTTCAGCTGTAGTGATTCTTGTCATCTGGTGCAGAAAAATACCCCCTCCACATGAACAGCAATGGTTGTCTTAATTTGGCCTCATGCTTTGATACTAATTTGGCATGATAAAACCCTAATATAGTCATTCAGTAGTCATATGGGTTAAAGGACTGAAAAGTCTCGCTTTCAGGAAACCTTTCTCAACTGGCCCAAGAAAACTATTTGTTGCCCCTTAGAGTGTGGGTTTCATTATGCTTGGTGGAGAGATCAGCTCATTGTGAACCCTTCCAACTAGTACACCAAAGGGAAGTTGAATGCAGTGAATCATCATAAAAAACTCCTATTCAGTCTCTGATCTCCAAATGTAATGTAAACAAGGAATGTAAGTAAACATATGCATAATTTAATATTTTCCTGCAGGCCTATGATTGTTAATAATATGAAGTGGCTCGCCACTAGCAAACTGAAAGAAAAGGTTCAGGAACACAAGTGCTGCAGGATAGGACTAAATATAAGCACATGAGAGTCTAGAGAATATTTTATAATCTGACAGACAAGCTGAAGAGCTTCTGACGCATAACTGGAGGAGAACAGCTGCACGAAATGGCCTGTGATGCTGTAGCTTCCCCAGCTCCATGTGTGTCAGAAAGAAATACAGTTGCAGTCCTGAAGTATATGGGTTGCTCAGTGCTAAAATGAGCTTCACTCATTACCTGGAGAGTTCTTGAGCACACAGTATGTATCTTCCCTTTTCTAAGCAAGAAGATGAAGAAAGCTGGCAAAGTCCCTTTTTCAGAGCCAGCTGTCAGCCTCTGGGGCCACCTGGGCACAGAGGGTGTCTGAGACACGGCTGCTGACCCTTCAGCTCTGCTGGCAGCATTCACCCTCCTGCCACCTGCACCCCTGCATGTCACCAGCTGTATCCATCACTTCCACAAGCCACAGGAATACATGGAAATCTTTTGCCACGGCCTGTGCAATTTTTCCAGACAACACCAAAAATAAATGTGACAGAGGGTTCACATCTGCAGCTGCATGAGGTTCAGCTCCCTCCATCATTTGATTAAAAATCCAGGAGAAACCTTATGCAGGGATGGTGAGGACATAAGTGGGGGAGCCTGCCAGAAAGATTTATGTGAAACTCTCTGTTTCTTTCAGGCCAGTAAGCACTATCTCAGTATTTAGGTGACAGACACACCTGCCTGAGAAGGCACAGACTGAAACTGAATGTAAAGAAACAGCACGGAAATGTGACAAAGTCATCTCCCCTGTTTTTTACTGGCCTCCAGTTACTGAATCTGGGAACCAAGAACTCAGAACTGGACTGAGAATATCATAAAATGTAATTTAATTTCAAAATCAAGGTGATGATTGCATTCAGAATTAATTTAAAAAAACAAGCATAATTCTTTGTCTCAGCTTTCTTCAGCATGTTCGCTGCATTTCCCACGCTTGGGAACTGAGCTGTGAACTAGTCAAGATATTTAATATCACTGGTCAAGTTACTTATTCCATGTTTTGGGAGGGAGGAGAGTAGATGAGGTGGAGAGAGAATTTCTGTTTCAAAACATTTCAGAGATGTTGAGATATCTGGGTGATGGGTGGCATATAAAAACCACTGCCATAATGAGGGAAATACACATATATTTTTACCAATCTAAAGCTGTTGCCTTTTTTAACTCAAAGTGGCATTTTGGATCAATTGTTTGTGAAAATCCTTTCATTAGCACTTGGAGGTCTGCATCTGGAGAGGCTGACGGAGCATGCGCTGGATCTCCATTACAATCTGTGCCTATTCAGGGCAATCAGTCCATCACATCGGCACCAGTGTGTGTTGGAAACCCCAAAGCACCTAGATTAAGGAGCAAAATTCAGCATTGCTTTCGTAGGACTCAAGAGTAAGTTTTGTCCTAATGTAATATGTCTCTAATAAGTTACAGACTTGAATGCAAGGAGGGTTAATTAACATTTAAACTGAATCTTCTGCATGACACAAGCTAAAGAATTTCAAAACAAAAAATTATGCTGTGTGGAAGTATATAATGTGAAAAACAATTTTGTGAAAAGATGTTCAGATTATGTACTAATCACTGGGTTCACAAGAGCAATAAAATGATACTTTCTCCAAAAAATGTACATTGCAGCTTCCAGAAGAGGACATACTGCTCAACACATAATTCCATAATATACGCATTACATGCCTGAAATGGCCTCACTGATTCTACCTCTTACTACTAACAGCTGTAAATGTTGAATGATAATTTTCCTCAATTTATCAATGAATTATAGGTTTTATTCTCATGAGTTAGACTCTTATGATGTATTCATAATTTACAAAGAAGTACACAGAAAACAAATGCATTTGTTTATAATGTTATAACAAGCATATAATATATATAAAACATATAGCATGTAATTTTTGTATGTTGCAAGTTTGGAGAGATTTTCTGGAATTACACTAAAATTATAAGAAGAATATCAGTTAGGAGGAACTGTTTGAATTCTAAACCTGATTCACCATCTTCAGTGACAATATGAAGTGCCTGAATATTTGGAAGAAAGAAAGAAAATTACAATATCCTTAATAAACATGCTTTGGGAATAGTATTAAGACTAACTCAAGTATTTCAGCCCTTGCTAATAAAATTTAATTCATTGTTGTATGATTTATCAGCTTCTTTATGAATCTTTGTTTTATCTTTGAGAACAGTAAGTATAATTGGAATTATCACTGCCTGGCTCATGTTTTTCTTAGTTTACAAGCCTTGTGCTTCTTTGTGGCTAAGTTGGATGAGGCAGACAAAAAACCTGGCTCTCTGTCCCAAAACTAATTTGCAATTCACAGCCTCTCCGGTGTTCACAGCTGAGAAGAGACTGTACTGAGAAGAAACCTGTACGTT